ATATATACCCACTGTAAATATAGCCACTAATATACTCACTATATATACCCACTGTAAATATAGCCACTAATATACTCACTATATATACCCACTGTAAATATACCAATCAATATACTCACTATATACAGTACACCCACTGTAAATATAGCCACTAATATACTCACTGTATATACCCACGGTAAATATAGCCACTAATATACTCACTATATATGCCCACGGTAAATATACCAATCAATATACAGTACTCACTATATATACCCACTGTAAATATAGCCACTAATATACTCACTATATATACCCACGGTAAATATAGCCACTAATATACTCACTATATATACCCACTGTAAATATAGCCACTAATATACTCACTACAGTATATATACCACTGTAAATATACCAATCAATATACTCACTATATATACCCACTGTAAATATACCCATCAGTATACTCACTATATATACCCACTGTAAATATACTCACCAATATACCTATTTTTTAACAGTTTTATAGTTAAAATAAAAATGTATCAATGTCTACCATCTTCAACGACACACTGTATTTCTAACAAACGTCACAAAACTTGATAGTAAATAAGAAAAAGCTCTCCATGACGCTGCACACAGGTAGCCTATCAAGATGGCAGACTTCAGGTTCAAATACTTTTCGGTCCTATCTAATGAGACCTATGCATTAACAGGAAGTTAAATAATTATCCCCCCACTGTAACTGCTCCTCCGTGTGGTTTTGGGTCTGATTGCTGTGTTTCTTCCCCCTTCGCAGGTTAGCTGAAATGGAGAATCGTAACGGCTCTTATCTGAATGACAATATCTCACCAAATGAGAGCATGTGAGAACAAGCTACTTGTTTTTTGTTTTCCATGTCCTCCTAACTCACTGATGGGCTCGCTGCATATGTCGTCTTTGTTTCCATTTGGCTGGTTTTGTTGTTTGTCAGTGAGTCAAGCCTCAAGTGCATATTTTCCCTCCTGGTTATCTTTAGTTGAGTCACTTTTCTGGTAAATCAGAGAATTACAAATCTTTGTAAAAATGTGTTAACGTTCCTTGACTTCCTTCTTTAAAACGGTCAAGTTTTTGCAGAAAAATGCAGTGATGTCAAAACTAAGATTTAGCGAGGTGCAGAGAGAGAAACAGAGAGACATAATTAAAAATAAATACATATACGGCACCTAAAATGTTTACATACACTCAATTTTTCCACCTCATAAATTCAAACCAATCTTTTTCTGTTTTCCATCATTAGTATTTCCCAACATTATTTCTTTTGGCTAAAGGCTTCAATATTAAATGAGTTTAAAAGTCACAAGTTGGTCCATTTTCTTAGTGTTTGTTCAGTGGTGGGCACAGCTAACCAAGAAGTTAGCTTCCTTAACTCGTAATCCTCATGCTCAAAATATAGATTTTCTAATGCTAAACATGTTTAAAAAAATCAAACAAAATAAGCAAGTGCTAATGCCAAACAATTAAAAAAATATTTCAATGCACACATTATGTGCTACGTCTGTCTGTGTCTCACGTCTTCGTCTCATTTCAGCTGAAGACTGGTGAGACTGACATAAACCTGTTGATGTTAGCTTGTTAGTTAGCTGTTAGCAGACTCAAAGTTGTCAAAACCTCATTTAGAAGAAGATACCGGGTAATTGGTCCACTAACGTTTTTCTAAGTTATTGACAAAGCTATTCTGCTAAACAAAAAAATTAATTGTGCCGTTGTGTGATTAGCAGAACCATGCCCACTACTGATTTTTGGTATTACTGCCTTTAAGCTGTATGATTTACTGTAGGTAAAATATTCTGGCTTCTCATAGTAATTTGCTGGACTGTCTCGTTCCTCCTGACTCACTTGGAAACGGGGTCAGGTTTGTCTTACACACAACTTGGTCAAAAAATGTTGTCAACTAACCAATCAAGAGCATCCAAAGCCATGATATCATCATCTGGGCTTTCTTATTGTTAAAGGCTAACAATTTTAGTGTATGTAAACCTTCGAGACTGACACATTAAAAAAATCCCTACGATAATATTCTCTTTCATTATTTAGACATTCAGCAAATTGAAATAATTTTGGGAATCCTGACAGATCTAAAACAGAAGATTTCATCTGAACACTCAGAGTTTGGTTTATAGATCAATTTTAGCTACTAGCACACCTAGCTTTATCTCAATATGTGTGAAGTTGAATAAATCGTAGACCTTTGTGTGTTTTCTAAGATTGATTAGCTGTGGCAGCTAACTTAAATTAGATGTACATTCTTTTTATAAGGTTCATTATAGCCCTGTTTATACATGAACAATGTCTAGAAACATTAGCATTCTAATGTTGATGGTGGCGAATCAACATGAATACCAAAAAGGCTGTGCTCATTAAATTTGCTGTAGTTTCCATGCCGAGCCACTAGCTGGCGCTGTGATTTATTTTGTACTTCAGTAAGACATGTTAGTGAGCATAAAAACAGTCGCATCCAAATGATGAAAACAAAAATGTATGTTTGGACCGAGGATGAGGTTAGGTGAGCAGCACAAATAGCTTTCTGCTATCTGCCCATGTTACAGTTCATCTACTCCCACGTAAAAAAAACTACTCACATATCAAAATATGTCAGGCCCAGTTCTGGCCTCCATAATGCTCAGCCCAGATACCACAAAGAATAACAGTCTTATTGTGGATCAAATGTGATTTGCCAGAGGTGGTCCGTACACAGTGTTGTATAAAGTACCACAAAGTGATACTTGAGTAAAAATACAAGTAGCTTACGAAAAAATTACTTTGGTAAAAGTTAGTCTCCTTTAGGAATATTACTTAAGTAAAAGTCTTAAAGTATCTGATATTTTTTTTACTTAAGTATTAAAAGTAAAAGTATTGATTTAAAA